GCCACGTTTCTTTATTTTCCGGCAAAGTAAATTCAGTTTAAAGTTTGCGATCGTGTTCGTCCGAACTGCATTACAAACTCCACGCATCAAAGGACATCAAGAGTAGTTTTCATCACGACGGAAGAGAGACGCATAAGAGAGACCGCCAGACATGAAAGACCAGGTGATTTTAGTTATGCGGTTAAGCTGTGCCCCTTTTATCAAAAAGGTGTTTTTTATAACCTTGGTGGTCCGTAATGGTGTGTGTGGAACTGAGAGTTTTGTCACTCTTTAATCTGAAATCTATATTTTCTAGCTTTACTATTTCTCTTTGCTGTTACACGTTCTATAGACCCGATATCTAAACGTGGTTTACCTTTGTTTTGTGTTTAATGTATGTTTGTGCGTTTGTTTGTTCGTTACGTCTGACTAGTCAATAAATTCCATTTATAATCAAATGAATTGTATTGTTTGCCTCACGAGAAAATGTCACTGAAATACAGATTCCCCTGCCTAGCTATTATAAGTTGTTTAAAACTTTTGAATGATTAATCTACTTCACAAGAAGTAGCAATTAAATTCCCTTTTTCTAAATGAATAGATTACCGTGTCCGCTCGGAAGAGCGGCGGCTCTGCTTGTGTTCGTTTGGTCAAATTAACAATAAATTGATCCGGAATATTAATTATTAATAATAATTCGTTATTGTTGATAATTAATATTCATAATCTGGGAATCCGCTCGGTCGCGCGAGCATGATCATTTACAATCATATGTTTGTTTGACCAAACTGACTGAAGCTTAAGCCGGAATATTAATAATTAAGAATAAACCGTTATTGTTGATTATTAATATTCATACAATGAGCTAATTTCATGTTACACAATTATGTCATCAAACTGTAGTATAAATGCAGTATCACACTCGTAGCAGTGCGATATGGCTGTATATTGGCACTGGTGGGGGCCTGTGGCCTCGTGCCAACGCACGCCTCCCAATGCCGATATACAGCCATTTCGCACTGCTACGAGTGTGATATTGCTCATTTATATAACAAAAGTGTGCTTTTCATATTGCGTGAATCATATTGCCCTCATGCTAGCATTTAAACTTTAAAATATTAGATTAACCCATTGTTAATATTGTCACAACTTGTCAATGACATGAGTGTATCAACAGTTTATCAATTTAACATGTTAATTAATTTATCTTTAAACGTCTCTGACTACGCTATTTGACTTTTTATCTTGTGTGATCAGATCATTGATTCTGCCCTTACACGTTGTTAGTATTATTTTGCTGAAAGATAAAAAGGACCTCTTCTTTTTAAACTTTGTGTTTATGCTATTAACATACTACTTGTATTTTCTTTCTTTGCAGTGTTGCATGCCATCTAGTCCTGATTGCATGGATTGAGTCCTGTTTCAGTCCAGCACAGTTATACCTGCCGATCAAGGACCTGAAGCTACCAAGCAGATGTGTGGGCAGCTGTGAGCCCACTGGACATCACTACTGGAAGTGATCAACCTAACATGGCTCCCCTTCAACTGGAAACAGTTACTGGGAACCAACACTCAACTGGTGTGATATGTTAAGATCATCTAAGAATTATTTTTTCTATAAATATTAATTTAATCTTTTTCATAAAATTATCTGTTGTCTGAATCCTGACTCTGGTGGCCAAGAATTAAATTTCTCCTTTCTGCTTCATCTTACAGAAGCCAAGCTCAGTCAAAATAAAACCATTATATTATTTAAACTTTAGTTTTATCTGGTGATTAAAGTTGATATGCAAACTCGCTGTGTGCAGACACCTCTGCATGGAAGGCTGTTACACCAGTCTCACAACACATGAGTGGTGTATATTATTTCTGCGTGCATGTTAACAACTGGGATTTTCAGTTGGGAGTTGCACAGAAAGGGTTTTCTGCATCTATGTATCTGTTTGTTTTCTATTCAACTAGTTTGTTTGCATTCTCTATTTCTATCTCTCTCTCTGGAAAGAAAAAATAATTCAAAGCCTAAATTTGTTTCAACTGTTGAAATATCTAGAACTTTATCATCCTGGAACTCCTGTAAATAATTTATTTCCTAAGTTCCCCCAAAAAATTCTTTACCCTAGAAATCTTATGGTACAAATGGTGGAGAAAATACACACATGAAAATATTACTTTGCTTTGCTTAACTGAATATATTTTTTATGTTTTGTCTCACTTAGATACTGATACAAAAAGCAGCTTGGCTGCAGCATCAGAAAGTACTTTTTGAAAGAGACAGGGTTATGGAGAAGATTGTTGATTAGGCATAAATATATAGATGCCCCTGAAAGGACTGATTTATAACTTAATGTTATATTTAGTTGTTATGTTTTGTCATATATATATATACATATATACCCACCTATATATATATATATATATATATATATATATATATATATATATATATATATATATATATATATATATATATATATATATATATATATATATATATATATATATATATATATATATATATATATATATATATATATATATATATATATATATATATATATATATATATATATATATATATATATATATACATATATATATATATATATATATATATATATACATATATATATATACATATATATATATATATATACATATATATATATACATATATATATATACATATATATATACATATATGTATATATATATATGTATGTATGTATGTATGTATGTGTATATATATGTGTT